TATAGTAACAATAATATTGAGCCATAATTTTTTGGTAGCTTCATATATTTGCGCAAGGTTCCTGTTTTGACAGGTTAGGTTAGGTTAGAAGGTCGACCAAAAAAGTTTCCCACTTCGACAACTGAGAACGCCGGTTCATTGTGATATCTAAATACTCTTAAATAATGATCAAAAAGATCTAATTTGTTGAGACGGCTGATATCCGGTTATATCGTCAGGTTAGCCAAAGATAAGACTGCCGGGATGTTTCAATCGCAGTCTTGCAAAAGCTGAACAATGGAGGAGAAAGTGCTTGGATGTTTCAACTTCAACTATACAATTTAGACAGTTAGCGTCCGCACGCCTATTGGGCAATGTCTGGTAAGTTATCCTACACTTGTGGCAAAATAAACCCTTTTGAAAGTGAATAGTTCAGTAGATCTCTTGAGTTCCGCGATAGGCCAGAAGTATCTCGCAGTCGCTCAGGAGCTAGTTGTTGTACAGCACCTGCTAAGTTCTCGCGAAGTCTATGGGTCCATCGCTAGAATGCAATCCGAATCCGATTCCATCGAAAAAAGTGTGTCTTCTCTTGTAACCTTATCGACTTTGAAGTTTCCAGTGATTCCGTTATGATCAGGCATTCGAATGAGTCTGGGAGTAAAGTACCTTGTTGCTATCGATATTGAGTTCAGACACTACTTAACTAATTTTGAGTGCACAGCGAGCGAGCTCACAGTTAGTACTGCCGCTGCACTTCAAAGCAATACATCTACTGCTACCTTAAGCAGCCACTTATGCGTGAAAATATCTACAGGAATCCGGTAGTCGAAAACTAAGCTTGATGGAGAGCCCCTTACAGAAATAAGTTCTGACTAACATAAAAACCATTTTTATTTGTTTGATAACAGGCGCTCTTCGTTGAGGAAAGATAAACGCCTGAAAACTAAAAAAAACATCTCATAACATCGATTAGCCGTTCAAAGTCGACTTTGATATCCGACAAGTATAGTTGCTTGGATTGGTCCGGAACTGAAAAAATTTTGCCCAATTCATCTTATCATCGTAAAGTATTAAAAGGAAATACAACTTAAAAAATGCTCAGACATTTGAGAAAAAGACTAACCAATAAAAGATCAGTGAACTCAAAGGCAGCTCTTGAAGATACGAGATCCCAGCTGAAACCTGTTAACGGCAGTTTCAATCCGGTTTGTAACCTACATATTCGAGCCTGATGCATTATCTTTAGTAAATGTCAATGCCTTTATGCTGAAGCCGGGAGGAAATTTACTAAAGTTTTAAGCACTCGTGAATTCTGATATAAAAATAATAAAAGCTTTTTAGCGCTTTAATCTGCGATATATCCAAACTAGTTGTTAAATTTTAATTTCTTTATTTCTTAGTAAAATTTACTGCTACTTTCTCTGTATTTCTGAATACTTCTGAATAATTTGCTTACATCACGAAAAAAAGCTTTGATTATGAACCAATTCATACATTTCAATGTATCTATGTATGTATATGTGTGTGTGAATTTTCTTGTTTTTCTTTGTGCTGCAAACTTTTTACAACTTTGTCCGTTATTGTGCTCCCCTTTTTTATTCCTTGTAATCAACTCTAATTGTGGCCAGCTAATTAAAAGCAATTATATACGACAACAAATTAAATAAATACACAACACCAATGCAAATGAAGGTCTATCGTCCTGTTAGTCATAAGCTATCCCCGGTTTCATGAAATTTTGTTAATATTTGGTTAAATTTTATTTTTTCTTGTGTCCTCTCTCACGGGCACAGACAAACAACCTTTTATTGCAAACACAAGCACCTTATTTTCTTTTACTTCGGACTACGAGTATAATTTCGTTTGACAGGTACCTTTATACCTCTATATACAAGTATCTATGCTTGAGCGTGTGTTGACGGCTATTGAAGTTTATTTACCCGTCACACAAATGGCGCCGTTGAATTATTGCAAAAGAAAGGCCACAAAAATTCTTCGACCATAAATACCATATACATACCTATGTGCAAGTGCGCGTTTGAGTATTGGGTGCGAGGGCTCTCTATGCTTTTGGGCTTTCGCTGAATACCCACCGACTAGTTTTCGCGTCGCTAAGTCTTCGCCATTTTGCATTGAGTACGTATGACTATAGCACTCGGTTTCGGTGAGTTGTGTGGGTGTCCAGCTAAGTGGGAATCAACATTTCGATTTCCGCCTCTAGCTACTGAACATTTTAGCAAACACTTGTTTTGCTAATGGATTTCAGAGCTTTGATTCTTTACTACTTTACTAAATTTGAAATTTGTATACCAACATACATATGTATGTGCTGTTGTAAATACAGCGCCTTTCAAAACTTTTGCACTGGTGGATAGCTAAAATACTTATTGTGGGTATCATCAAAATATCTAAGGCTTTGTTAGGTATGAGCTTTCAGAAGTAAATTTTAAGGTTTAATATAATAATATATATGTAATTTCAATCAAGCTCCCTTTTAAAGGGAAATGAGGTTGGCTACCGCACATTACTGATAATTATGATCAATATCATAACTCATTGCTGACAGCTATCGTGGTCATTAGCATTTCTTTATTGCAATCTTCTATTTTTAGACATTTTGGAGACTAACTATAAATATGTTATACCCTCTTTTCAAACTGTTCCACTCCTTTTTCCAGTGTGTTATTGTATTGGTAATCGACCCGTATATACTTTCCAGTATACAAACTGTCACATACAAGTATTCGTTTGGGTGAAAGAGATTGTGTTAGTTCGAACTGTTTCAGACTATGCCGGCTTCGATTGTAGCGGCTCGTGCGTTAAGTAAGACATCCGTTGAACGCTATTTGCCTTGGGTGGGGTTTTATTAATTTTAAAGCTATGGCATATCTCTCCGCTTACACTCCTTTCGCTAATCGCTTACCGAAATAGCAGTCAATGGCACTGTTGTGGGCAACATGCGTCGCTTTGATGGCGCCTAATTTCGAATTTTACGAGCGTATATTTCGCATACTAAGGAATTTGGCTGAAGGCTTCATTCACAAGTTTACATATGTACTACAACGTTATGTGACACAGGTTATTATATATTGTACATATGAATAGTTATTGTGTATGTTTTTATATATGTACAAACGCGAATAAATTTTAATATTTTGATTAAATTTGTTCTGCATTAGTTGTTGTTTTTTTTCAGTTTTCCTATTCATGCTCATACCACTTACTTTAAGGCCGCTGACTCATTTTTTGTATATGTTACACACATTTTTACTACACACCCATTCATCAAATGCACATTCTGAGCCAAGTCTCATACATATGTATATGTATTTTACAAGTGTATGTCCTAATATAAGTTTGTAAAGGGTATACTCTGCTTTAAGCGCAACTATTTAATATTTCCATTCATAATGTGTACATGAGCATATCCTTTTTGCACATGCTTTTCATTTTTTTCCACTACTTGCCCCAGCATGCGCCTGCTTTTATGCTTTGGTTTGGTACGCATGAATTTATGTTCGTATTTACGGTTGTTACATGGCGTAGTGCGCTTGTAGTTTTTCACTTTCGGGTTTTCATTGCCAGTCATGCATGCTAAAAATTATTGCTTTTTTTGCTTTTTGTGTTATATTTATTGCATTGTTTTGCAATTTAGATTGCTCGTTTTAATATTCACTACCATTTGTTGTTGTTGCTAGATACAATTTGCTAGTTTCCTTTTCGCACGAGAGGCAACGGCATTTCGTTTATTTAGTTAGGGATTCATCACTTTCACAAGCCATTTTATTAAAAAAGACAAACTGGTGGAAAAGCCAATAAAAAGCATTAAACTAAAACTCAGTCAACCTTTTCGAATACTGAGAGTACGGAAAATCATACATATTAATTCACTTTGGAGTGTCCTTGAGAGGAAATTGCTTGAAAAAAGACACAATATGCATAATGACTAATTTGTATACGATTTTCGTTAGAAATTAAAAAAAAAAATATTTGTAAATATAAAATTTTAAATGTTGAGAGCTTTTTAATAAAAATCTTTCTTAATTTCATTTTCTAACGTCAGCGTTCTTTCTCGACTAAATAAACCAATTATTGCATATATTAACCATATTATCGAATTTAGGGACACCCCTAAGGTGTATTACTATCAAATTCTAAGCTTTCACTTTTTATCTCTTTTCACTCATAACACTTTCACACATACACGCTCATTTAATGTATGAATTACATTTAATTCTGTTACTGTGATGGATTCTCTTCCTTTTTATTGAAACAAATTATTTTATATTAATCCAAAGGCATAATTACAAGCGATATTTATTTGAGCTTTTAGGGTTGCCCAATTAGCTAATACTCAAGCTTACATACATAGCTAATACATAAGTGAAATATTGAAATTTATTTTAACTCCATAAGATTATAAGTTTAAATTGTTGATCTTTGAGTTAGCTGAATAAGAATCTAGCGTTCTTCTTAAAAATAAAAAATAAATGTTTTATTTTTTAAAAATTATTTTGCATTTCAAATTAATTATTTTTATAAAGTTTTAAAGAACAGTGATGAAGGTAAAAGAATATTATTTTTCCTAAAATGAAATCTAAAATAAATAAATATTTCCTTTAAATTTTATTTTGTATTATTTTAAAACAAAACGACAATTAGATTTGACAAAATTGTAATTTACAATTTAATTTTATTCTCAGCTTTGTTAATTCGAAAATATAATTTCAATTTAATTTTCTTGTCGTTAGCTCTGTCTTTTTAGAGTCTAAAATTTATACTTATTTTATATTCTAATAACATCAAAATTACTTACCTTAAATATAATACATGAAAGGTTTCAACAAAAGCTATAATGAAATAATCGCTTTCGCTTTTTAACTTTTTGAAAGCACTTTTTAGAAATGTACACCAAACACTCCGAAAGCTCGTCTAAATCTATGAATATCGCTTGTGGCTGACACTTAGTTTTTAGTTTTTTTGTTCGACAACGTGTTTTCTTTGCGCTTGCATGTCTATAGTGTTTATTTCAGAGACCGGGACAAAATCGGTAAGCCACTGAACACGAAGATGCCATCTGCGCCGACACACACGGCCGAGGAGGCACGTCTGTTGGGGTAAGCGCGCTGATTATAACGCCTAAAATAATAAACTACAATTACAACTAGCAACTACAATCTGCATTAAATAGATTTTCATATCAATAAAACAACAAAAAAAAGTACGATATAAAAATTATATGAAAATAAACGACTTTTCACATAACGGTGAAGATCCGAAAATCCTGCTAAGAAACAATTCATAACATGCAAATCCCGACCTAAACGTGTATTTTTTATGATTTCTTAAATATTTTCAATACCATTAGCTATATATTATATTATGTACAAATATATAATTTAATATATTGTATGTATTTTCCTTAAGCTTTTAGATTCCGAAAATATATTTAAATAATTGTTGAGTTGGTATGACTTTTTATTTAATACTTTTTACTGTACTAATTTTATTATATTTTATAGCTTAGTATTTATAGTTTTTTACTTAAACTTAGCTTAGCATTAGCCTTACACGTAGCTTAGCATCTGGTTTGAGAAACTTGCTGCATTTGACGCATTAAAGAGCATCCCAAGTAAATATAGGCAAGCAGGAACTGCAACCAATTACTTGATTCATTTTATTGTAAAATATAGTAATAGAATCGTGCCACCAAATGATTTGGATTAAAACCTAAAAACATAAACCTCAGCATAGTATACAGTTGAATGTACCTAGCAAACACTTGCCTGTGATAGATGAATGTACACTAATAGTTAGTAAGCAAGAAATGCAAACACTTAAGCTAAGACCTAACCAAATCCGAATGAAAATTAAATATATGCAAATCCAAGGATCTGCTGCTAGTTTGTGAAACCTAATAAAGACCAAACAAAAAAATTCAATACCACTACACAAGCTCAAACATATTTCTACACACCAAATGCTCCAGTACTCCTATTCGAATATTATATAGTAGATATGTACCGCTCTCACATAGCAATCAATGCCATACGGACGCCACTTAGCAATTACAATTAAGTATATACACATATAATGCCAAGCAGTCGGTTGAATAATTATGTTAAAGTTAGGTTATGTTAAAAAATGTTATTTGAAATAGTTCAAAATTTATACTAATACGCAATTTTCACTTCGATAGCACCATGCCCGTCGATCCTATGGACGATATTGAATTGCGCTCTGTGTGGCTGCAATTTCCATATACACGCGGCTCCACATTGCAGGCATGCGAGCAACGTCTTGTGCCCACTGATAAGGGCGATATACACGTAGCCGTGCAGGGCGACACTACAAAGCCAGCAATTTTGACGTATCACGATCTGGGATTAAATTGTAAGTATGAAATGATTTTTTATTAAGCTCGGAGAAAGTGACGAGAGAGAAAGAGATGGAATCTAAAAAAAATTGAATTTTTAGCAGAGTAACTGAGGTCTAGCCGAGAGTTAAAGTTCTTAAATATTCATTTTTTCAAATGTAAACTTAAAAATCGGAAAAACTTGGGATACAATACTAAAGCATTTTTTAGAAGATGTGATTAGAAATAAAAAAATATTTGAAGTCTAATACTTAATAAACGGATTAAATCTTGTCCAAAGATTTTTCTAACAAAATATGTTATGTATGGATTCATATACATATCTAGGCACTCATCCTTCAAAAGATTTTCCGTTAGTATATAATAGAGCTATTTTTTCGAATGAGTGCAACGGATAAATTGACCTGAGTGTATTTAATGGCACTGCTAACACGCCAGCTGTCAAATATTTGCTTCATTCGGCACCTAACATTCTTCGAATATGAATTTGAGAAGTCGTCAGTTTAAAATAAAATTTTATACAATACAATATATTATAGAATAGATGAATGCACTTTTTAAATACTTTTTTTATTTACTTTCAGATGCTACTAGCTTTGCTGGATTTTTCAACTTTCCGCCACTACGCAGTTTGCTTGAGAATTTCTGCGTCTATCACGTTACAGCTCCTGGGCAAGAAGAAGGAGCACCTATATTGCCAGAAGAGTAAATATATATGAAATATTGTGGGTTGATAAGAGAATAAACTTGTCGAATTCGGCTTGAGTTGAGAAATGCTATTTTACTCGACGATATATCGACGAATTTTAGTCTGAAAATTTTAATTTTAGTTTTTTTAATTTTCTAACGATTCGATACTTTTTTCACGTCAAAACGTTGAAAATTATGAATGTTATATTTTTCGTATCATTAGACACATAAATGTCAATAAAAAACGCTTTGATGTTGTAGTTTCCAGTATTACGTCGATAGGCAATCTGTCAAAATGTATTCAAAAGATGTATTTAATAAATTCGTTTTTTCGAGTTCATTTCGAAATTTTTACAAAATTAACCCTTTTTTTCGTTTATTGGTTTAAAGGAATTCTTATCAGTCCACAATTTTTGTACATACGCATTAGTGATATTTAAATACATAAATGGCTTTAAATCAAAATGTAAACCAATTTAACTCTACTTCACTGCCGCAGTTATGTCTATCCAACCATGGATGAATTGGCCGCTCAGCTGGTTTTCGTGATGTCGCATTTTGGTCTCAAATCAGTGATCGGCTTCGGTGTTGGCGCTGGCGCCAATATACTGGCCCGTTTTGCCCACAATCATCCGGATAAGGTCGGCGCTTTGGTGCTCATCAATTGCGTTTCGACGCAATCCGGCTGGATCGAGTGGGGCTATCAGAGTTTCAATACACGCTTCTTGCGTACCAAGGGTATGACTCAGAGCGTCATCGATTATCTGATGTGGCACCATTTAGGCCGCAATCCAGAAGAGCGCAACTACGATATGGTGCAAATGTTTAAGCAACACTTTGAACGCGGCGTCAATCCCACTAATTTGGCCATGTTCATCAATTCGTATATACATCGCAACGATTTGAATATTACACGTACACCACCAGGCACTCCCGGCACTCAGCCATCGTCGTGCACACTGAAAATGCCGGTTATTAATATTACCGGCGCCTTGTCGCCACATGTCGATGATACCGTTACCTTCAATGGGCGCTTGGATCCAACAAACTCATCTTGGATGAAGGTTTGCGAAACAACTTGTCATATATATATATATGTACATATAAATGTATATATAAATGTTGACGATTTCTTTGCTTTGCAGATTTCCGATTGCGCCATGGTGATGGAGGAACAGCCGGCGAAGTTGGCCGAGGCCTTCAGGCTTTTCCTGCAGGGCGAGGGCTATGGTAAGTGTTAAAGCACTGCGGAACTTATATTAGCATTACAAAGATACTACCATCACCTCCACCACAAACCACAACAACCACCAATTACTTATATAATATACTACATAGTTCCCATTGCCATTAGTAGTTTACATACGAGTACAAGTATATTCAAACTTTATAAGACATCGTGTAAAAATTAAACGCAATTCATCAGGCGCAAACTAAGAAACAGCAAATCAGATTCAAAAGCGAAAGTGCTTACGAAATAGCGTTATACAGTACATGCAGAAACTATTCAATCGCGCATAAATTTTTTGGTAAAATACATTAATATTAATATTAGGAAACACACACATTATTTATTATTAGAAGTTATTGGAAATCGCATTTATTATAGAAAGTCACTTTCAGGTGAAGAAATGTTAAGCTTAACTAATTTATATTTTAAATACACATTGTTGTATAAATCAAAATATTTTTTGTGTGCTGACTTTAGAAATTTTGATTATGACATGAAAAATAAGTTCCAATCTTTTTATAAATCGAAATTCATAAATCGTAAAATTTTCCGAACTGATAGTTAAATCTCAATTTGAAAGCAGGCGAATTTTGCATTATTCTCTCGCACTCTAACTATTGTTGCGGCCCACACTTAAGGTTTTATATCCACTTGCAAGTCAGAAAAAACTTGTTTTTTTTTGGAACTTTTTTTGTAGAAATAATATAAAAATAAATAAAAAAAATGTTACATTAACAGTTTTTAATGGACTTGAATAAACGGCAATTTATTTTGAAAAATTTTGGATTCCATAGGCTATCTACCGGAGGACCTGCGAAAACAAGTGTCTGCCGGTGAGGAAGATTTTTCGGCTTAATTATCACTCTTAACTTAATTGTCTTAAATTCAAAAACCAAATAATGAATACTGGTAATCATCAATTGACTTGGCAAAATGGCGGCATCAGAAAAAAAGTAGACTTTTGTAAAAAATATTTACACTTTATAGTGACTTAAAAAATCGAAATTATTATAAAAAATCGTATTCCTTTGATCATTACCTGACAACTATATCTAAGAAGTTATTCTAAAAATTTCAAGCCGATCGGTCAAGCCGAAATTTTTCTCATCGACTCTAAAAACAACGTTTCGAGGAAAACGTGTTTAAAGTTTTGGAAGCCTATTACACTAAGTTAAAAATTTTGGTTCAAATTTTTTGTAAATATGCTCATATCAGCAACTTTTTGCTGGTTCAACTTCAAATTTTCGGAGAATATTCTCAAATATATTACATTGTATATATATATGTATATGCAAACAACACTTTTTTAATTCACAAGTGGATATAACCCTTAAATTCGTGCCAAAGCAGAAAGCTTTTCCATACAGTTTTATTACCAAAGCGACATGCTTTCTGCTTCTACCATGCGTGTTACGCTCAATTTGTTCACACTTGAGTTATTTTTAGAGGAATCTTGTACGTTATAGATGAACGAGCGATGCACCTCGTTTTGGAATGTTTTGGAGAGGACTTTGAATTAGTTTACGATTTCGAACAGCAGCTTCTTTATATAGGGACAGCATTTAATTCGAATTGTTTTAGAAACTTCCTTTATGAGCCTTCTTCCAATATGGACTTAATTTGTTTTTACTATATTCCCTTCGTTTTAACCTATTATTGCGCTTCTAAGCAATATTTAGTAGTAGGAAAATTAAAATAATTTTGTATTTGAATAAACTAATGAATTTTAGCGAGTTCGAATACAAATTAAACAATTAAAAACGCATAACGCTTGAATTAAATGATAACCTGAAAGCAAAGCAAGTTATATTTGGCTTTAAAGCTTTAGTGAAATTATTAACAAAATGTGAAACGACAAGACGATAAGAAAAATAGCAGAATTGTCATTATTTTCGCATAGCAACGCGAGCTTGAATTCAAACGACTTACGTATAATGTTAGAGAATTTAGAAAAATTTTAGCATATTTGTAAAGTGAATTGCATAATAATTGTGGTTGGCTGGTTAGATATTCAAAAGACACAAAAAAAAAAATATATATATATTAAAAACCGTAAAAAACATTTTTTAAATTTAAAATGGCATAACAACATTAAAAATAGTCATATACGCGAACTATTTTTACAAGCCTTTCTTAAACACCTTTACACACAAGCATTTCTCAGAATATACATTTAAACAAAAGCTACGCCGTATTCTAACCAAAATCTATGCCATTCATTTACATACATTAATTAAATACGTACAAACGTAATTATAACGGATTCATGCATACACAGAAGCTATCTATCGCTACTATTTATTACAACATCATTTACTCATACATAACTACATATATTAAAATCAAATTGTTTGTATGCATAATCGTACAAAATTGCATTCGTCATATATTCAAATTATTATACTAATGCATGTACATATGTATGTAAGCACAAAAAAAAAAATTGAAATTGGCGATGACTTTAAAAATGAGCATACAAGCAAGCATATATATTACTTTATTTGTACTGAAATATAGCAATTAAAAATTTGTTAAAATTATTACATTTGATGAGTATTGAAAAGATGTGAATTTAATTGGATTTATTCAGAAATAAAATAAAAATGTTGTTTTAAAACAAAATGAGAAAAAAGCATAAATGAAATTATTTGACTCACTGCTGTTTAGCTTATTAGTCATACTATAATGCATACGCCAAAAAAGCGGTGGGCGCACACTAATTACGATGGAATTATGTTAGGGTTAAAGATAGGAGCTTAAAATAAAATTTTGAGTGGAGTTGAATAAGCTGAATTGGGATAGTATATATTGCAGCAAGTATATTGATTTAAGAATTAACTACGATGCGGTTCCACATATAAAATTATCATTTTTAATCGGCACAAAAGTCAAGTATCCACTTAAAATTTTAAATATGAGATGCAGCTCTTCAAAAGTTTAACAGTCATGCTGCGAAGTCATCATTCTATAACTCGCCTCACCACATTGCTCCCAACATGCCTCCACATAAGCCTGAAATGTATACATTTACTTATTTGTTTTTTTTTTTTTTGAATAAACTACAAGCAAATGTTTCTTACACACTGCTCTATCATTGATAAATACAAAATACCAACGCTGTGAAGAAATTGAAATTTAATTTGGACATACAAATGTTTTCTTTTCTTTTTTCTCTCTTTTATATCTCCTTTTCAAATGTTTATAATACAAAACTTAATGAAAACCCACACACCGAATCATACAAAAACTAACGAATTCACGCTTCAAAACACACAAAACATAAACTTGCGTTGAAATTAATTCGCATTCCAACAAAACGCCGTCAACATCAAACATTCAAAACACACACACATACATGCAAATATGCGCCTTTTTTTTTGAATGTTTTGGGTGTAAACATTGTGTTTTTAACCAAATTATGAATAAATATATGTGTAATATTTTTCATAAAAATTCTTTAAAAATATTTTTAAAAAAAATGTTGTACTTTTTACTTTCAAAAATCGTGTGGTGTGCATTCTTAAACGCGCTATTTGCTCTACAAAATATCTAAATTGCAAATACAAAAACTAAAAATATATACTTAAAACAACTTTATATACATTTGTGGTATGTATGTATATTTTGATGTAACTTTGCTTTTTGTCGCAAAACTTAACTTTATATAACAACAAAAACTCTTAATCAATTAATTTCCAAAAAAAATAATCCACCATACCCCGCAATTACTACCGCATTTTTGTTGCTTCGCTTCAACCCTCGCGCAACAGCAGAAAAATCGCAATAAAGCGATAGATTTGAAAACCTTTTGTCAGAAACAGAAATTTTAACTCTGGTATCACTGCTTGTTGTAATCTAGTATTAATATGTGCATATGTGTATGTGACAACCGCACGCCTTGTGTACGGAGGGAGGCGTTGCCACAGGGACACACTGAAACGCTGCCAACAAAAAGAAAAAAACAAAAGAAAAATGCAGTCAAACTTTACTTTGAACGTCGAATTCTCGAATTCGCATTTGTATTAAATGATTGGTGTAGTTAAAGCGATTGTGACGCAGCTATTTTCGAGTTCAAAACGAGGAGACAATATTTACAAAATACCTGGTAATCAAAATTAATAACAAAAAATTAAACAAACAAAAAAAAAAATTATTAAAAATCTCAACAAAAAAAATTTAATTTCATGAGATTGATTGTTCCACCTTTTTAAAACCAATTACCGTGAGAGTGGGCTCACTAATAGCTGCGTCAATCCTTTTCAATAGCTTAGCATACTTGTAGTTTCCTCAATGCATATCGCACTGTCATCGCAAATCTAACCCCACTTCTTCTAAATATTTAATACAAAATACAAAAAAAAAAAAAACGAAATAAAAAAAAGAAATTTTCGTGTTAGTATGCATTATATAACCACACAATATAATTGTTTTATGTCTTACATAATTGTTATGAATATTCATACATATGTACGTATCTATACATTATGAGAAATAAATAAGCATTCACTAATGAGGAAGACAATACTAGCAAGTGGCTTTTTATTACAAAAACTCATTTCCGGATCTATATTTGTGAATTTTTGTAAATTGTGTACTTCTACACATAATATTATAACTGTAGCCAATCACATTGTAATCATACATTTTTGTCAATTTTGTGTGTATTATTATTTAACTCTTGCAACCCTGCACACCGGTTGTCAAAGTACGTACATACATATATAAGAATGTATTTTACGAAGCGCACGAACTTTTCCAAAAAAAGTATGTTTTTATTGCTCGTAACAGTCGCATATTTCAATTATTCTATAATTTTTGTGCTGCAAGCGGGTGGCGAAAGAATACTCACTAAAATAACCGGAATAACGCACCTCGGCCATATTTTGCGGGGTTGATTGAAATATTGGTGAAAAAGTGAAATCAAAACGATAAACTTTTCCAACAATCGCAGCAAGTAGCGTTCAAAACACTAACAACACGCGAAATGTTGTTCATTACTAAACGAGCCAAACACGGTTAAAACATGGAAATAACAGCCCTAGGCCGCATAAGAACCGGGACAATTTCGGGAACTTAGAATCGGCTGTTGTGGAAATTGGAATGAACTACTTATTTGACAGCTGTTATCAGTGCTATGAACATGTTGAGGGGATCTTTTTTGAGCTGAGTACTCTTTTGCCACTCGCTTACAAAAAATGGATCAATTATTGGTTAAGTCTTTTTTTGCTTTTTCGCTTAAATCCTCCCAAGTTTTGCTATATCTAAATAATAAAAAAAATTTTTTTTTTTATATTAAATATATGGGTTTAAAATTTGAAGTATATTAAGCATATTAATTCGATATTTCCTCTAGTGAGTAACAGAAACTTACCATATAGAAAAAACAACACTACGTCCGATACGAACAATGTTAAACACTACTTAATATATAGAGTATAAAAAGCATATTTATATTATGTACTCAGAAAGGGAAGTGGGTATCTAATAATTACAAAACCTTTAAATTATACTTACGACTTACTTTACGACTGCCGACGAATTTTCTATATTTCACGCGAATGCGTTACTTTAATTCCTCAACTTAGATAATGTTTAAAGCAGCAATGCTTACGCTATAGCTCACTTGGTTCCGTTTGACTTCCAACAACAGCAAGCGGCTTTGATAGGCTTCAACAACATCATCTACAACAAACACAGTATTTTTTAAGAACAATAAGTAAAATGAGCACAGCCTGGAAAGATAAAGTTAGAGATTGTGTCAAGTTTTTACTGTTACTTTTATCGATTTAGGCTGTGACAGATGTGATGTGGCACAAAATACAAAAGGTGACGTAATAAATTTAGTATGAGGCCATTGACAGTTTTTCTATGTTGTCTTAAAAATGAGAAACATTTTTATTATTTATAAATTATTCATTCTTAGTTCAGTAGAAATATAAGAGCATTGTTATTGTGCTTCTTCGGATTTAAATTGTTTGGTTGCCACTCGTTTAAAGTACCCGCAAAAAATCTTTAGGAAAAATGTCAAAAATTATTGTTGATAAAATCAATTGAAATTAAATTTCTACAGCATACAGCACTGTTAACGATACAAATGCTACGTACTTTTGTCTCACCCTATATCTGGTCTTACAAATTTTAACCTATGGCATTAGGAATATATATGTTTTTGTAGAATGTTTTTAGATCCTTTAAAGTTTTTCATAAAATATCTCTAATATAAATATTTACGTTTTTAGATGTCCATAATCACTTTAATCAGAGTCTTATAGACACGATCTCTGTGTTGCTTGTGAAATTATATGAATGTCCTCCCTAACTTAAGCCTTTATTGAATTTCCTTAAGCATGCCAATAAACTAAATAAAATATATATATCTACTGGGTCTTTATGAGCCAAAGTAATTATTTTCGGGTTAACAGGCTTACCATCGATAGCTGAAAAAATTTACTTTAAATAGTTGAAAGTTATAAAAAGGACTTTTTTCTTTTAAAATTGCATTCCGCACATATTTGTGTTCTTGCTTTTCTGTATTTAGCTGTCTTATGATTATATTTTACATATATATATATATATAAGTATATTTAGGTAGTCGCTGAGTATATATTTTTCAAAATATCTGCACCAATAGACTTGAGTAAATAAGCTGTGTTGCTTGCCGTTTTTAAACACTTAAGTTTTGCTTGTGTTATTTAATTTTGCTATTGCTATTATTATTATTTGATATTTTTTTCATATGATTTATTTTATTGTATTTTTGTTTCTTTTTTGGAAAAACACAAAACCATTTTAAAGCTGTTGGTAAACTACAAAAGTTGGCACGCAAATTCTCCACAGCCAGTCAGAGCAGTTCGAACCAAATTCAGCTTAGTGTGCAATAAGCGCAGCAGCACCGCAAACGCATCACCAATATCATCAAACAATCACAACCATCGACTTCATACAACCCCACCAATACGACAACAATTCATCATCAACAGCAACAACTTTGACTTCTTCGGTCGAAATTATCAATATCTGAATAACTGTATCCACGATTTAACATGAGGAAGTACAAGGCGGCTGGAATATACTTAGAAAGCGCGCTTATGTGAACTCGCTGAACTGGATTGTGTTTGAGCATCACTGCACTTGCTTTCTCTTGCATTTTTGTAATTTGTATATTTGGCTATTCGGCTTATAACAGTTATATTCCCGATTGCAATAACACACCTACACATAAGAGTTGCTGTTTTCGTTTAATGCAAAATCGTTGTTTTTATGAGAATTATGATGACTCTGCGTTTAGTGCTGTAGTTATTTTTATTGTGACTATTGTATTTTTATTATTATTATGATTATGAAGTTGCTGTTTTTGCTGTTATTATTATTATGATTATTATCAATGTATTTATGTGCTAGATGTTGTCTTTTTTCACATCAATTCGCAAAGAAAAACAAAATTATTTTATAGCCTAATATTTACAAAATGTTTGAAATATATAGAAAATTCGTGAAAGCAAAAAAAAAAAAAACAAATTTGGTTTTTTTCTAAACTAAAGCAAGATGATTTTTTCAAATTGGAGATAAAGGTTTTCGTGTAGAAAATCGCTTAACTCTGAGGTCATAAAGGGCGAGAGAGAGAGAGAGAGTTCCCTCACACACTTTGTTCCGGGGACTTATGTATTTATCTCTACAATTATAATTGCTTAATGAGGTCTGGAATGTTCGGAGAGCGTATTTTGGAGATGCCGTCTTGCTGCAGATCTACAATAAGCAGAATTAGTAGAATATATGCGTTAAAATTCATCGTGAAAATATTTGGATGCAACTTGGAAAAACATTACGAGTATCGCCCGACCCTAAATTCAATAAAATTTTTGGAATTTTTTTTTTACGTTTCGATAATGTGAACATATGCCACAGCAGGTTGGAGTATGAAAAAAAGAACTTAAATATATATATATTATAGATCTATCTATATATACATATACCTATATATATATAATCTATCAATTACTTGTTATGAATAAATTAAATGTTAAAATGCACACATGTATATCAATAAAAATCAAATAAAATTTTGAATATTATTATCAAATTTGTAAGCAAATATTTCATCAAACACAAAATTTCAAGTGAAAAATTCACGATCCACTAAAACATGCGTGTATTATTATAAAACCCTTAAATGCTCACATATACATAGTACGTTACCGTTACACCACAAACTCTTGTTTGAAGTTTTGTGTTTACAAATAACTGTCAAACGTTTTCAACGAGGTTTTTTCAGTATGATTATATATTTTAATTTAAACCCTGAACAGGGTATATTACGTTTGCCACGAAGTTTTTAACATCTCAAATGTAAGGTCGAAAACGCTATAAAATATATATATATACATATATAATATAATAAACGACCAGCTGAGTCGATATAGCCATGTCCGCTGTCTGTCTGTATAAACGCGACTAGTGTTTCAGTTTTTGAGATATCGATATGAAACACATTACTTTCTCCCTTACAAACTGCTCATTTGTCGGAATCACCGACATCTCACAAAATTTGATATGGATTATTGCCAAAGTTAAGGGTTAAGTTAAGCTGCCATAAAAAACTGCCCGATTCACATTGGTGACTGGCAAGCTTTTGTTTGTTGAAGGAAATTTGTTTTGTATGTTGAACCACGTGTTTGTGAGTAGTGTTTAACAGTAAACACCAGCATGACCAATAAACACGAGTTTGTGGCGTAACATTAAGTTTAAGCATATACGATACATACCATAAATTGTATAAACGGTAAATTATACGCGCAATTAAAAATCTGAAATATTTTTAAACAATTATTAGGCGATAAAATATATGGTCGATGTAAGAAAATATATAATACAGATGATGAAACTAATTGCAGACACAAATTAAATGTTGTTTTTTCATAAGAGAAAATATTTCAAAATAAACGTTTTGAAGTTGAGCAACCCAAAGCCTGAACATACTTATAAATTAAGATATTATTAAATACGCTTAAGAAAAGTTCTTATCCGAAACAAAGAATATGTATGTGTATGTGTGAGACAATTGGTTTGTGTGTGTGTGTTTCAGCACTAGCCAAGCTGCTTCGCATTTGGACGAATGTGTCATGCCTCATTGTCATGCCGTGCATTACATAAATCAGTTACACATCATTCCAAAACAACAACAACAACAACAATACATTCAAGCCGAGTTTTAATTTACATAAAGTGTACATAATGACACACACACTTTGTGCTTAAAATATTTGCGAATTTCGCTCATTAAATTCAGCCGCACAGCCGCAGCACCACACCGACTCAGTCACATGTGAAGCGCGTGCTCAGCCATACAAGCATTTGCCACCCTCAGCACACATGCACAAACACACACGCACACAAAGCGCTAGGCAAGAATTCTCAAACATTCTACAGACAAAAAGAAACCAAACGATTCTCTCAACCTCCTCTTTCAATCTATCGACTTTTAATTCGTTGAAATTAAATTAAATAAAAACAAAAATAAAGAAATAAAATAAATTCGCTAAATAACATAAGCAAAATTCCCACTCCCTCTGTGTCCCCACTTCTTTAATGTGCTGCGCCCCTGTTGCTATCCACTCTGTGATACGGAAATACACCTGAACTCAATCATCAACAACACGACTACAGCCACGCCACTCTCCACGCCAGCCACCTCGCCATGTGGCACCAAGTATCAGACATACTCGTCCATCTTCTTCGCCAACTTCAAAGAGCAGCTGGAGAAGGAGCGACGTGAACAGCAAGCTGAGCAACAACAACAACAACAACAACAGCAGCAACAGCTACAGCAGCAGAAACAACAAAAGAAGCTGCGCAGCAATGTGCGGCTCTGTCGCGAAACTGCCATTAACAACAACAACACCACGAATACCGGTTACGCCTCGAGTAGCGGTGACGCCTCCGGTGGCGAGTCCGACGGCAACGGCAATCAGTCGATTGAACGCGAACGCCACTTGCCCGCCTGCGAAATGCAGAAGGATTTGAATGATTTGGACTTCGAGGCGGAGCCGGAGCCGGAGGTGAGCGTCAATGGCACAGCATATACGAGCGCGCAGAAGATGCGCATCACGGAGAATCCACTGCCGGAAGCTGTAAGCTGTTAAACGGAAGAAAAAGTAAGTTAAACACCTGAAGAACATAGTGAGCGAGAGTTAGAAGTAGAGCGAGAGAGGCAACGAAAGTTAACCGAAAAGTAGGTGAAATGCTGTGGAAGTGTAAAGGTGAGGAAAAGTAAGCGGAGCTCCGAGTTGTGCGAAGTAAAAGTATATCATTTAAGAATTGCTGAGTTTCTTCAAGCCACAATTGAAGACGTTTATCATTGCGCTCAGAAACCTACTGTAGTAAACTTAAATTGAAATAGAATATGAAAACTTAAATAGTAAATACACAATTTTCGAAAGCTGCAATAGTGCACGCGCGCATTTAACACCAACAAGTAGCTGCTGAAGCTGAGCTATGAGCCGCATACATACGTAAATGCAATAAAGTCAATAAAGAGCGAAATGTCACTGCTGCAGCCGAAACCGCCCATAAATACATAAATAGAAATCAAAACTAATATTTGTTATTATGAATCACTTTATTTTGTTATAATTATACTCAAAAACGAGTAAATAAAATGTTAGTAATGTAGTTAAAAAGTTGCTTAAATGTCGTCCTACTATTTTTGATTGGTGGAGCATTAAGCACATACATATTTTTCTAGCAATAACGGTTAATTTTTCAACTATTTTGAAAAGTATCCATAAAATTAGCTTTCTTTAGTCAAAACTGCTGAGTATAGAATGAGAAAAAAATAAAAGTATTTTACGAATTTTAGTTTTCGCATAGGGATGCCATAATAATTACACTGCAAAAAATATATTTTGGCATTTTTTTTTTATTAAAAGTATTTCTAATCACAACATTCAATTAACTAACATTGGAGTAGTAAATTTTTAAATTATTCTTACAAATTGATTGGAAAACGAGAGTATGTTAGCTAGCATTGCAAATATAAACAACAAATTTATGTAAAAGTAATCAAATAAACCCAAATTGATAAAAAAAAATTAAATTACGGCTGAAGAGATTAGTTTTATAAGTTTGTGAAACGTAGAGAAATTTATTCAAAATATTTCTCTTCTTTAGAAAAAACTAATTTACTTAGCGGCAACTCTTCATTCCGTTACCGACATGGCGTATACGCAACACAAGCATTTGGCACTCGAGCAGGCGCAGTTGCAAAGTGGATTTTAATATACAAAAAAAAAAACACAAAAAATCACAGCAAAGGAAAGTTATAACAATAACAATAATATATGTTTAGTCAGTGAGAGAAAATCTCAAAAATTTTAAACCTTTTAACTTAAATTTTAGTTCAAAAATCCAAACCAAAATCCAAAAGTATTCCAAGGCAACATACATTCGTAAGATATTGGAAATAGCATTTGTTTCTTAAGGTTCAGCTTAGTTCTACTTATTTTAAGTACTCATATCTATCATTTTACTAAAATTACCTTACCAAATACAATTTTGTTTATAATCTGTAGAGGAATAATTTGAGAACGAAAGCCATCATCAAATCGACTAAATATGTATTTAAATTTCCATCACAAAGTCCACTTTGCAATTACGCTGCTGTGTCGCTGGCATCAAGAGGAACTTAATAACGAAAATCAAACAGAATAAACCCACAATGTACTTCTATATATCTGTTTAATTTGTTTCATTTCACTTTGTGCCTGAAATATTTTATGATTACTTATATTGTAATGAAGAAAAACACCGTTAAATAAGTTAACTTGTATTTGCAAACCAAATAAAAAATAAAAGAGAAAAACCAGGAGAGTTGAACAAAGTGCAGGGATTGATGAAAATCAATAATAACGGTTATAGTTATGAGAAAGGTGATTGACAGGAGAATATAAAATATATTAACGAGCTTTCTTGTTGCAAGCGATTTTTGCTTATTGTTGAATTTAGCTAAGCAAACGATTATTTTAAGCTACATAAACAAAGCAAATTTAAACAGTTTAAGAACTCACACACACATACACCCACACACGCATTCACATTAATAGAACAGATGATGAATATGAAACAGATAGTTTAGTAAGTATTTCATTACGAAATCAATGCAATTACACAAATATTTGAAAATCAACGAAAGCTTAAGCAAATGAAGCTTTGAAGCTTTATAAAGTGCAGTAGGCGACAAGCGATTGTAGATATGAGTAAATAAAATTTATTTAATTAAATACAACGCTGTTATCGAAATGTGTAGCAAAAAAAAAAATTGTTCAAAAAACAAAAGCAAAATAATATTAATAAAAAAATAATATTACCAAAAATAAATAAATAAATAAAAAAATAAACAAAAGATTCAAACACTAAATATTGACATACATTAAAAGATAACTGTAATTACTTTATGTGCTAGTAAAACGAATTGAATAAAGTCCTTGAAATGTGGTGTATTATTTGTGAACTGTTCTAATGTTCATATTATTAGCAGACTACTTTGTTTTAGAGAACATATCAACAAAAAATAAATAAAAATATTATATTAAATAAAATGAAATTAACTAACACTGAATACACAGAGAGAAAAACATAAGAAAACTCAAACTTTTCGGTTTGTGTGCACATGTATGTGTTTGATATGGGAGGTAGAGCAAAGGGCTACTTCTGAAAATAAAAAATGATAGAATAAAGCAGTATTGTTAGATGTAAGTAAAAGAAGAGTGAAAGGGTCGAAAATGAGTTAATCTGCTTCTGTGTTTGAAGGGAAAACTATGAAAAGTTCTGTTTTTATAGATCAAATCATAGGCAAATCGGCACACTAAAGGACCTGAAGACCACGAATCAATATAGAAAGATGATTTGAAGTGTGTAATTAGAGGTTATACCGAAGTCTCCAGAATGTTCTACAAATGTAATAAAAGGTCTTTTTGGCCTATGAAATAATTTTAGGCACATTTTTATACTTAAAATACAGAGTAAAGTGATAATTTCCTAGTTCCAAAGTGGATATTAGCTTTTAGCATGTTCTTCGCCTTACTTCCGATATCGCAAATATGTGTACAGCTACTAACAAAATGAACTCCATATATCGATATAGCGATAATTGGTAAAATCAGAAAAAACAAAATTTCTTATTGTGTTTATCTAAAATTTTGCCTAAAATATTGCGGGAAAATGTTAGAAAATAAATTAAATAAAAAATGTTGTTCTCCCTTGAATGTTGGTACTGTTTACGCCTGCATCCTTACATCTGCTCGTAACGTGAAAACTCAAAAATGTTTTCGATAACACATAAATGCAGCAAACAATAGGAAACGTAAGCAAAAAGGACATAACCAAGAATATAAAAACATAACTTCAAACTATGAAAGAAAAATAAATTTACGAATAAAATATGTAAAAAAGAAGTTTAAAGAATTGATTCATCCTAAAAGCAACGCAATCAAATGGAGAAGCACACACGCTTGATGTTAATACCATAAAAAAATGTAAAACAAAAACAAAACACAAAACAAAAATAAATGAAATTTATAATAAATATTGAGTAATTGCACTTATCTAAACGTAATCAAAAAAAAATGGAAAAAAAGTTCGGGTGTAACCGAACATTTTATGCTCTTGCAACTTGCAGTCGGGTGGAGAGTTAGAAATCATTATATATTATGTTGTGGATGGAGAAATAAAAGGGCCGATTGGGTTAATTTTTGGTATTTGGTTCAGGTATACTGAAAAACTTATTTGCAAGCATTTTTATAAATATAAATATACATATGTAGTCTAGTCAGCCGTTTCAAAATCCTGAATATCAGTTATATGGGGGCTTAGGCAAGTTTACGCCGGATTTTATCCATTTTAAACAGAAAGATATACTGTCATTAGCAAAACATGCTCTTTCAAATTATTTAAAATAACTACCACATTGGCCGATATATGGGGTATAAAGTTAACTGGAAGTTGCAACAACAATACAATAGGGTATGGGAGCTAAGACATATATTGACCCGATTTAACTCATTTTTGACATAAGATTCCAGATATATTTCATAGATTGACCGATATTTTCCACTAAAAGTCAGCCATACACACTGGACTCCACATATTTGGTATGTAAGGGCTTGAACAGTTATGTTCTAATTTTGACCATTTTTAGACCTGAGATGGCATACCTTAAAGGCACTATTGGCGCAAAGTTTTAACCGAATATATTGGTTAGTGCTTGATTTGTGTACCGGAAAGTGAAAGAAACAGATGGAATTTAAAAATGTGTTATATGGGAAGTGGGCGTGGTTGTAGTCCGATTTCGTTCATTTTCGCACTGCAATATACGCATGTCATAGTAATGCAACTTACTGAGCTTGGTTGAAATCGGTTGAGCTGGTCGAGTGGTATGGGTATTCATCTAAATATGGGCGGTGCCACGCCCATCCTCTAATTTGAAAGCGGCTCTTATAATACTCTCCTGTATCACACAGGCCCACAGGTGCCCCTTGCTACTGTGATTGCCTACGCCTAATGACAATTTTATATCCTAAGTTAGTGCTTAGTTATGTCATAAATGGTGTTTTGTGGGCGTGACAGTGATCCGATTACGTCCATCTACGAGCTCGTTCTCGCTTTTTTGCCAAGAAACACGTGTACCCATTTGCATAAGGATGTCTCAATTTTACTCAAGTTACAGGTTGCATAGACAGGCCAACGAACGGACAGACGAACAGACAGCCACTCAGTTTTCAACTCGTCTCGCCATCCTGATCATTTATATATATATATATATAACCCTATATCCAACTCGATTATTTTTAGGTGATACAAATAACTGTTAAGTGAACAAAACTAATATACTCTGTAGCAACATGTTGCAAGAGTATAAATATATATAATATTACTAAAGATAAAACAAAGCTTGCCTGCAAATTAAAAAAAAAACCTCAAAGTATTCAGTAAAAGAATTATATAATAGAGAAATTATTATAAAATACAAATACAACAAATTGTGCATTTGCAAAATACATTGTGCAGCAGCAAATTAGTATTAATACGCTGCACCAACAACATTTGACATATTTACACCAGTTCACATACATACATACGAACACTTATACAAACATACACAAATATACAAATAACCAAACAATAATACTTAATAGCGGAAATGTAATAAAAATTGCTTTTATAAAGAAACAAGTGGAATTTTTATTTCCCAACAGGTGAGCAGCAATGCTTGGAAGAGACTGATAAATGAAGGTAGGTTATATACGGCGAAGCGATTGCCTGCCTGTTCTCAAGTATCAGAAATCATATGTTGCTATGATTTTGAATTGAAAGTAACGTTTTTTCTATTTTTTATATCCGACTTCTCAACTGATAGAGCTCATTGTGTTAAATGGGCTTTTAGCCAAACACTGATCATCATTATACTTACCGTCGTCGCCGCCAAATTGAAGAGGTTTACTCCACCTTTGCCCTTTTCTGAAAACCACAAAATATAGTAGTTTTTCCAATAACGGGTATCTCTCGGACCCTCCTGACCGTTTAGATTCGCCTAAAAACTAGTGGATCTCTGAATTTTTCGAATGTAATCCAGGTGGTCGCAAAAGAGACTTCTATCAGCGACGTAATCGTCAATTATAAATTATACAAGTATATACTTTCAAAAGGAAATTCAAATTGTGAGATAACATTTTCTCCGTACTAAGGTTATGTAGTACCATACTCAAAGCAAAAATCCATGACATTTTCTGCCCAAAATATTATTATTAAAATATTTTACAGTCTTTCTTCGTGGATTTTTCGGAGCTTAAGAATTTGGTTCCATCCGAACCCACTTGTTATAGCCACCGACATCGCCACCGCGAAGGAGAGAAGAATTTAATTTTTCGCATCTAGTTCTGTCTAATTTTTTTTGTACTTAACAACTGATTTTGAAAGATTAAAAAAATTGTTGCAATATGAATTTTTTATTTCAAAATCTCTACACAAATTCATGAAACATCTTATTTGGCTTCCCTTAGAGGCTTCCACATAAGACTCCTCGATCGTGCAGCTGTTTCGGCTTCGCCCGGACTACATAACTATTAATTTAGTCCAATTTACTGTTCGCTCTGAGCTGGCTCTTCGGCTGCTGCTGGTTCCTGGCTTTGAGCTGGCTCTTC